CCCCAAAACCCCAAAACCCCAAAACCCCAAAACCCCTTATTTAGATTGAGTAATTGAAATCATGAAGTTAATTAGAGTGTTACTACAATTTGTAGCTTTTACCATCATTCAGCATATTTTCTATGTCTTTTAGTTCAAATTCATCTAACCTATATGGAAGAGTGAGGGGGAATGAATTTAGAGGATTATAGATAGCACGATTGGGAATGTAACTTACATTGAATCTCCCTCCTCAATTGCTTTAGATTCCTCGTTCGATGATTTTTGTAGTCTAGGAATCTTCTCAGTTTCTATTAAAAGTTTCAGATCATTCCAATGACATCGAGGAAGTAGGATTTTATTGGAAATTATTTATGAGTGAATTTTATTCAGCTGAGACCGTTTACAGACCATCTTAGTAATAATACTGCTGAATTTAGTGGCTAAAGGAAATGTAGGTGTTGCTTTCAAAAGTGGGTTAAATTATTTAAAATTTTAGAAAAAATGCGAAATTTGCCATGTTATTTTATTTTTTATGTTTACGGGATTAAGAAGGTATTACTTATTGAAATGTTTTTCTGCTCTAAAGTATCGTTGTTCAAAGCTGCTACAGCTTTGAATACACCTTTGTTTGGGGATTTAGTGTCAATATCCTTAAATGTTTCTCACCATCTCTCACCTATGTTTAAAAATAAATATGAAATATTAAGAATAAAATAATCACAATGATGAACTGGATCTTACCAAATGCATTGACTCTTTTATGTTTATTTGCTAGCTTTCTCTTCATTAAGAGAAGGTCTTCCAGAGTCGATATTTGCGATATCATTATTAGTGCCTCTAGAGTAGACTGATTCAGTCAGAACTACTTCTTCCTCTTCAGAGCTAAGACCTTCATTGCCATCAGACATATTTTCTTGAATGACTCCTTTGAGAATTTTCTTCTCAATTTCGTTCATCTCCTTTCTTCTATAGAGTTCGACCAATTTTTCAATTTTATTGTTCATTTTCTCTGTTCCTTCTACACCATTATTTGTTAACAGTTTCATAATTTTTGGAGAATTTTAATGAAAATAACTGGAATAATCTAAATTTGAAAAAAAAGAAAGAAAGCAACATTTTTAAAGAGTCTAGTGGAGGGGAACTTACCAACAAGGGTTTGCTTGGCTCCAAGCTGGAACTCCTCGTCACTGGAATCTGAGGAAGAGTTAATAACATTATTTCTGATTAAATCTCATGAAAAAGTTATGTTGTCTTGAGAGCAAGATCCTGCTTATAACTTTGAGTTGTCTGATAGACTTTATTACAGAGATACAGTCTAGTTCTTCTTTTAGTTTCATTGATCCATTTTTGAAATAAACCTACAACGAAGTAATTCAAAGATTTTCCAGATGTAATACAAAGAAGGAAATTAAAATAATTACTTGTTTCCTGAGCAACGCATTTTTTCTCATTTTCCTTTTAGGGCGGATCCAAGCTCATCAGAAGATGTAACCAAAGATCTCTCTGTATCCATACCTAAATTTACTTCTGCTCTGCATATTATGCTTAATCTTGTTCATGAAGATATCTCTTTTGTTGGCAGGAGGAGTTTCTTCCTCTATTGCCCTTACCAGTTCTTTTCTGGATTCTAAACCTATTTATTCCATATTACTTCCAAAGTTTTTGCCTGTATTTAGCATGTTGAGAGGAAAAGTCTTGGCCATTGTGTTTTTGTTTTTAACTATCTGTTTTTCTCTAGTTTTGTCGATTTGGTAAATTTTATTGAGAATTGATGATATTAGAAGTCTCTCTGAAAAGATTCCAACCACAAGCATCCCTGTTAGGAGGAGTACTTCGTAAATACCTCCTACTTGTCCCATAAGATCACCAAAGGAGAAGACTCTCCTGTCGTATTGATCTCTATAGGGGTCAAATCTGATATAGATCGAGGCAAATTGGCCATCATCTCCTTCTAACTCAATCTGGTCTCTAGAGTCTTGGATTTGGTAGAAATTCCTTTCCTCTGTGTTAAAGAGCTGGACAAGTTGGTCATGAAGAGTTGCTTCATTCTTCCTGATATAGATATCATTCTTCTTTCGAAATCCTGGCATTATGTCCCAGTAAAACTGTCCGTCAAGATAATTTTGAGCAGGATCTGTAAAATTAGTGAGATCAAAGAAAGTATTTTGGAACGAGAAGGTTAGCTTGCTATGAGTCAGAACATCATCAATATCACTAGCTCAAGGTACTGAGGAGTATGCTGGGTTGCATTTGTAGAATTTGATTTCAATGTAATCGAACCTTTCAGAATAATAATTTCCAGCGACTGTGTAGTTTTTATATTTCGGACAATGAAATTTGTCAATACCAAGCCTTGTGATAGATTCTATAGGAATATCTGTGAAGGAATTATTCCCTCAAAATTGATTCTCAATGGTTGTCTTGATTCTCTCCCTTTCAGAGTCTCCTGAAGAACTTTTGGTGTATGTCTGAGATACCTGTTTGAAACTGTATGAAACATAGGAAGGTTGTTGGATTAAGTCTCCTCCGTTGTCATCATCAATGCTGAACCCAAACATTATGCCTTTTTCTCCTATATAGTGGACCTCTTTGTCGTTCTCGAGGTCTGTAAAGATAGTATTCTTAGACATAGAGGTTTCTGACTTCGACACAACATCTCTAATTCCGAATAAGAAATAGACGAATATTGTAGACATGATTAAAAGTGAGATGACTGCTCCCATGAAAGTCTTGAACTTGTCTGCCCCATCATACGTCATAACGATGGGTTTTCCGTAGATGTCTATTCCTTTGAACGCATGGAGCATTTTATTTGCAAATGATCTTTTTTGGGGATTCTTTTGTGCAAGAGGGTTTACCATTGTTTTGATCTAATTCAATAAATTATTAGTTTTGGGGTTTTGGGGTTTTGGGGTTTTGGGG